GATTAATAACAGTGGACTTGAAAAGTTTAATTTCCTGAAAAACTGCTTTAAGAAACATAATTTATAAATTTCAACTGACAGTAATACTGAGTATTCAGACAATGAATGGCAAATGTGTCCTGTATGGAAACAGTTAATTTCACTATTACAATTTGAACTGTACCCTCCGTCTCATTCATTGGTAAAAAAAAAAAAAAATGTTAATTGTAACGTTCTGCTTGATACTTCCTACTTGGGAGATTTGCATGACAAGGAAATGCCTAATTTCAATATGAAGCAATTCATTTAACTTGGTAATTGCTCTTTCAGCTACAAACTGGCTATACTTAGTGTCATAGCAACGTCAGGCATGGCAATTTCTATCTGAATTTCTATGGTAACGAGCTTTCATTAATCACAATATATGTAGTAGAAGCAAACTTAAATTACATAACAATTACCACAATATATATTTTCTTTTGTCTTGTAATGATATATTTCAGAGATCGCAAGTCGATAGGCATATAAGCTGCTTTAAATATGTTTGTAAGGGTCAGAATAATACAAATGGAACACCCAGAGTAGTTTCACCTCTTTAGCATTTAACATCCTCAAAACTGCACTGTAAATATCAGCTCTCAAAGATTCACTGTTTGTGTGACTTCTTGCAACATTTGCAATGATGTTGTCATATAATGGCAGAGTATACATGGAGCGGGTTATAGTGTTATAGTATACTGAGAGCCGATATTTATGGGGTACATTTGGGAGTGCTGAATGCCAAAGGGTTAAGAAGGAAATGACCCCCCACCCTTGAAAAAAAATCCCTTTAAAATTTTAGCCCAAGTTTTATACTTGTATTCAAAATGTTACTCCTCTTTCTATTGGCCATCCTGGGTATGAAAATAAACTACATCTGCAACCTGGGTAAGACGATAAACTACATCCAACAGCAAGGCTTCTGATCAGGAGGTTTTAAGGAGTGTGGAACCACCTCTTAATTGCTGGTGTTCCCAGGTCCACCTTAACCCGGGGTGGTAGCACCTGTTAGGGTCCCAGCTATGGGCAAATAGTTAACACCCAAACTTGTGTAAAAATAGGTTTTAATACCAGAAATACTTTGTAATAAAAAAAAATTATTATCAGCAATACTTTAACAAAAATACCAGCAATACAAACAGTTATACATTCTTTGGAAAAAATATGACCAGCTATAGATTTCTTCAAGGAAAAATATTCCCAGAAATAGATTTTTGAAGAAAAACATATTACCAGCAATAAAAATGTTGTCGGCATTAAATAACCCATTGAGGTTGATATGCTGTAAAACAAAATAAACCAAACCAATCTAAACCAAAGAATACATATTCTATTCATACAAATCTATCCTAAAAATGTTGTAGGCATTAAATAACCCATTGAGGTTGATATGCTGTAAAACAAACGAAACTAAACCAAACCTCTTTCCATTAGGCAACTCTTCTTCAATACCTAACCCATCTATGCAGTATAATAGTGATAGATCAAAAGACTTAGAGATATATGCACAGAATGAGATGAATAGATATAAATAGATACAAGCTGAATAGAATATGAGGAGTTGCTAAAAGTTGTTTGACCAAACAGGAATTCCTTCAAATATGTTTAGCCCCTTTAGCCTGATTTTGGCAAATTGTTTGAGCTGAGAAGTTTTTGTACATAGATATGAACAAGACTGAATAAAGACAGATATAAAGAGAAAGGAACAAGATAGGGAAATAGATGTAAAGAGAATGGAGACTTGCCGGACAGACAGACAGACATCAAGAGAATAGTCGGGCTAGCCAGCCAGCCAGATAGATGTCAAGAGAATGGAGATGAGCCAGCCAATATAGACATCAATAGAACAGGGATGTGCAAGAAAGACAAGCATCAAAAGAACAGAGACTGCCCAGCCAGCCGGACAGACATCAAAAGTACAGAGACAGGTCTGCCAGACAGATGTCAAAAGAACAGAGACAGAGCGGCAAGACAGGGAGACAGACAGATGTCAAGAGAACAGATGGGCCAGACCTGCCAGGCAGATAAGCATCAAAAGAATGGAGACTGGCCTGCCCAACAGACAGGCACCAAGAGAACGGAGACAGGACAGGCAGATAGACAGATTGTCAAGAGAACAAAGACAGGCCAGACAGACAGACAGAAAGATAATAGAGATGGGCCAAACATAAACACATTATGTTTATACATATATGTGTGTACATACATACATACATACATATATGTAAAAAAAAATTTTCTTACGCTATAGAATATTTATATGTATTTTTATATGAGTGTTTGCACATATACTTTTTATATATATATATATATATATATAGTTGAATATATATATATATATAGTTGAATATATATATATATATATATATATATATATGTGTGTGTGTGAGAGAGAAACGTATGTAATCTTGGTGGATGGAAGGTACACAGATCCCAATGGTGGTAAAGATATATATATATATATATATAAACTTTTTTTTAGACCCAATTCTTATTGTCTTCAATACTGATAGATTATTAGAAAAATTATTACATATTGATCTCATCAGAACAATATCTTGATCATGTCTGTTATTGTTATAACATTTTAACTATTATATTCTTCAGCTTTCCTAAAGTGTTTGTGACATTTTGTGAATGCAAAGCTAAATTTTCATTTAATCTACAGGACTTAATTGTTCTTATTGCACCATTCATTGAAGAGATATCTTGTTTCAATTAATTCTTCAAAGTTAATTTGTCCTTGAGAGACTGTAACAAGCCAAGCAAAACCATCAATGGATACAATCTCACTATTTATACTAACAGATGACTTCAATAATGGAGTTGCTTCTAGACTAAGTTGCAAGACCTATCAGGAGTTTGGTCAACGGAAACTGCTTTTGATTTTCTGTTGGAGCAACTGATATGACTTATACTCTCTGATCCAGGACTGAATTCAGCATCACTAGGCAACTATTGAATGCATTTCATACACTAGGATATTTTCCTGCAGCAATTGTCAATCCAGATGGTTAACAGTTTTAGGTAATTAAACATTAAAAGACCCTAAATAAAACTAAAATTTTGAATGACCATAGATAGATCTTAAAGGGACATAATTAAATTTTGAATGATTATAAATAGACCTTGGAGAACTATAAATTTTGAAGGAACATAAGTAAATCTAGGAAGAGTCATAAATAAATCTGGAAATAAGTAAAATTTGAATCACCAAAATAAAACTTTGAGGGAATATAAAATTTGTGAGTTGAATCAAAAATATAGTGACTGTATCTTTGTTCAAAAAGAGTACTCTCCACTCCCAAAAAAGGGGCCACCTGTTTATTATATCTACCTTTTTTTTTGACTCTCATGCAGCCAATTTCATGTCTACCTTTGCTGATGCTCATGCACTCTAAAATCAGGTCTACCTTTTCTTACTTTCATGCAAACCAAGCCCATGTTTACCTTTTCTGATTCTCACACAATCCAACTCCATGTCTACTTTCTTGTTTTTTTACATTTTTGTGAACTGACCCTGTTTTTCTACTGTTTTTAACTCTTATGCAAACCAAACCATACCTGTGTCTACCTTTTTGACTTTTGTGCAAATTGAACCCATGTCTATTTTCTAATTTTATCAAAACAACAGAATTTAGCTTATAGCTACACCAACCTACATAACAGAGCAAGTAAATTATTCATCTTTTTACCATCTTTTTGCTTAACAGATGTGGTCAGGGTTGAAAAAGATTGATATGTCATAAAACAAACCAGTCCCTAAACTTTGAAGAACAGTGTATAAACTTTAAAGAACTATAAGTAATTCTGAATGTAATATAAATAAATGCTAAATTAATATAAATGGGTTTTCAGGGAACATAGATAATCCTTAAAATAACATGAACTTTGAACTGACTTCATATGCTTCAATTACGAAATTAACTCTTATTTGTCAGCTATTAGATATCAATGACAGCTTTAATGCAAGAAATATGAATTTCTTTAGTTCTAATCCAATGCTCTAATCACTGTGCTATCATTCTAGGCTTGACTCAGAAAAGACAATACGTCAAAATGGCTTGTGACTAAAGCAATTGTTTCCAAAGTGGTTGGAAGAATCCTTTTCATTAAAAAAAATTCCATCATTTGTATTTAAACAAATAAAATCTGCTTCGTCATGCTTTTTGATAAAAAAAAAAATGGATACAGCAGACATGTACATATACGGACATGTTTTCTGCCCTTCACACTTCCTTCCCAGTATTGTAATCTACAAGCAGTCAATGAAGCTGATACATGGGTGCAATAGTTGGATGTGTTCTTTATTACACAAGTAGAATAAAATCACTATGCAGATATTCTATTTTTAATTTCTCCTAGCTGGACAAGTAACTGGCCAGTAGCAGACAATTCAAATGAGCAGATTTTTTACTGCAGGTTTTTTTTTTTAATGATTTAGTGATGACCTTCAGGTTACTTATTTTTCTTCTTTTTTTTTTCTTTTTTTTTTTAGAGGGCTTAATAGTGGAAGAAAAGATGATGATATAAGGTCTTAGATTCCATTTTACGTTGCACATGCTAACAATGGAGTTTATATCTACACCAACCTAGATCCATTTAATAACAGAGCAAGTAAATTATTCATCTTTTGTACCAACTTTTGCTTAACAGATATGGTCAGGGCTGGAAACAGATTAGCTTGTGATTGAATTCGATATATTTAACTGGTAAGATTTATTGCTACATATTTATACAAAGAAAGGAGATTCTTGTTCCCCACACAGACAAATAACCTTTTCTTCAAATCAAAAAAAGCAAAATCACTATGTCCATTCAGAAGGCAATCATGGCCCTCCATACTTTCTTTTTCTTTAATATCTGTAAATTGCACATTACAATGACTTACTTTGGAAACATAGTGGATAATCTTCCATTGTCTTCTCCAATGCTTTTAATTCTTCTTCTAGACTGATTGCTCTAATCTTCTCTGGCTTAGAGCCATATCACATTGAAACACTAGTTCCTGTACAATCACAGAAGTTAAGAAACATTGAGCCTGGTCAGTACGTAAATGGGTGACTGCTTGGGAATACCAGGTGCTGTACTCTTGGATTTACAAATGGTGTAACCTGAATTGTTATGTAGTGTTGATTTTTATATCAATACTGTTTCTATCTAAGGTGCCAATTTCTATCCATCTGATGGTCTTTTTGTCTTTCTATCTCTCTAAAGCCACAAAATATGTTCTCTCACTTTCTCACTATCTTATTCTCTCTATCTGTCTATCTTTCTCTCTGTCTGTATATCTAGCTTTGTGTGTTGATTTCATCTATCTAACATTCTTTCTTTCTAACTATCTAGCTAGATACTTTTTTTGGTATAGAACTGTAGAGAAGGATTTTTCTTTTGTCACTTTCTTTGATTACATAAACTAGAAGGTATGCCTTGGAAGAAGGCATATCAAATGTTACCCAAATGGTTCTAGTATATTTAATGACTAAGTAAATTTCAACCAGCAAAGAATATCGCATGAGTATTGCTTTTTGTGTCTTGTCATTATAACGAACCATCAACTTTTTAAATTACTTAAACATTGAATACAACTATATTCACTGTTTCATTAACCTAAGCAGAGGAATCTCTTTTTTTCGTTTTAAATCAAGTGTCATCATATTTTCATTCCAATTAAATATTTTACTGTTTGTTTGTCAATTCCAAATTGCAAGCATGAATAATATTGTGCCTTGTGACTATGTTAAAAAAAATGTTAATTGAAATTTCATGCAGTTGATCGTGGATAACTGAAACAGCGGAAAGCAAAAACATGGATACTTAGAATCAGACCCAAATTTCAACAGTGAATGAATATGAACACTTCAGATAAGGACCAGGAAATTTATCATTTCTAATATTTTGTAATGTTTGTCTATAAAAATCTGTTTACTTCAAATTTTGTGATGATAAACACAGAAATATTCAAGTTGGATTTCTTTGACAATTTCTGACCCTTGTTTTCTAATAAATTTCAAATGCATAGATTTAAATAAATTTTCATTTAAAAAAAAAAATTTTTAATCAAAAGCCTTTGCTAAATCCTAAAATACTACTTATCATTACATTAAAGATTATTAAAATTTGAAACATTTTTTTTTAAAACAACATTTATTTCAAAATAAACAAAACTTGTTCATTTAGAGAAAAACATTATGTAATTCATTGTTTGTGGTAAAGGTTTTTATATTTTCCAGAAATAAATGATTTCAATACAAAATATATTTTTACTCATTTTACATATATATATATATATGTGTGTGTGTGTGTCTAGAAAACCGGGAGCCAAGATAGCTGCAATTGAAAGAAAAGAGAGAAAAGGCTAAGGAGTGAGTGTAAAGTGAAAAAAAATGATGGGATGGACAAATAACCACAACATTCTACACATACACAGACACATATTTGGGCATCTCGACGTGATGTAAAGGTTAGCAAGCTTGTCTTGCTAGAACAGTTACTACTGAAAACTGAATTCAATCCTCACTGGATGCCCCATGCTTTCGGCCTTGTGCCACATCTAAGCTTTGCTTGGAAAATCTTTATACAGACACATATTAATGAACTCTGCATATCTGCAGAGTTCATTAAAGCTTTTACTGTTAAGCAAATTTGTATCGTCTCAAACAATTCTACTACAATTTAATAAAATCTTGTTGTTAACCATTTTTAATAATTGCTGTCCAGAGAAATTTACTATTGACCTCAACATGTCTAAAGCCAAACTGGGATATCATCACTAGAGAATAACTTTCATGAACTTCTTGAGTACGTACTGTGACCAAAGTTTTAATAAGCTACACTATCTCACCAAATATGTCGCAGCACAAGTTTAGGAGTATTTTATGGACACATCTTCCTATGAAGAGGTTTTAACAATAATACTAGACAGGATCTACATTAAAGAGAAAAATGAAATGGTCTCCAGACGCTTACTGGCTAAAAAGCATCAACTGCACTCAGACTCCATTGACGGATTTTATCAAGCTTTAATAAAACTAAGTAAGAACTGTTTATTTTCTTTGAAATCAGCAGAACAATATTGAGCTGAATTGATACAAGATGCCTTCATAAATGGGCTATGGTCTACAGATATCTGACAAAAAATACTTGAAAACAGCACCTTAACATTACGGCAAGCCTATGACCTGGTAAGAGTACTAGATTTAGCTGAACAAAATGTCAAAATTACAATACAATTGCAAGCAACTTGGATTGAGAAATTGGAGAGCTGAGTTCAAATTCTACTTGAGTTCATTACATTCACTTACATGCTAATACCCTTTGGAAAGGTATGAATCCTCTTCTCTCCCCAGCTATGGGTAAATAGCAGGACAGACCAGGTTCTATAGCTTGGATAGCAACTGGTCTACTGCAGAAAGAAATGGCAACCTACTGTGGGAAAAAATCTGCTTTTTCAGTCATCTATCAAAGCATACATGATCACCTAAGTGTGTATCATGCATGGCACATAACTGGCTGTAGTAACATCAGAAACGTCTCCATCTATTTTGTCCCCCATCCCAATTGTGTGAAACACTAGACTCTCCAAAAAATATCAACTTTAAGTAAACGCGCATTTTTTTTTGCAGGAGCAAGAGACATGCAAGGTCATTATACATCACTAGAAGGGACAAATGTTATTCATACAGAAAGCAGGCACATTGGGCTAAAATTTTAAAAATAAGGGAAGGTGAGGGGCAAAATGGTAACTTGTTCGGCATCATTGGATACACTTGGCTGCTTATCAACTACAAAGATAGCAATCATGGCTAAGGAACAAGATATCAATAAAGATTTCCTGTCTATGCAGGGGGTATGCAAAAGTAGGTATACAGTAATGAAAAATGAAATGTATACACAAAATGTATTGATTATCCAAACATATCAATAATAAACATATCAATCTTTCAAATGTTCAAACTGTTTGCCCCTGTCATTCACAGTCATCTTTACCTGCAAAATATCTATTATAAAATGTATTAATAATAACATATCAATAATAAATATATCAATCCCTCAAATGTTCAAACTGTTTGCCCCTGTCATTCACATAGATATTTTGCAGGTAAAGATGAATATTATAAAAACATATTAATAATAAACATATCAATCTTTCAAATGTTCAGACTATTTGCCCCGTCATTCACACACTCCTCTTTACCTGCAGAACATTTATTATTGTTATAAAATAAAATAAGACATATCTCGGCTGATTTACAGGCAAATACTTAAGAGTGAGAACCGGATGTGAATGGGACAAAGCCCCGTCACAAAATGATCATTATCTTTCTTTACAAATGTTCCCGACACACATGTTTCGGTCGAAAAATAAAATAATATTTAAAGTGCTCTATTTTTCATCCAATAAAAATGCTTCCCTCGCTTCGTTTTTCGAGCCTGTTAAGCCATAAAAAACGCTATAAAGGGGGTCACACGGAAGTTCAACGGGCAGTCAACAGGTTTCTGAGCGACGGTTCGGTTCAACTCTCTGTCTACGGACAGAGAGGAACCCGAAGGAGGCTATGCCGAAGGGCGGAGTCTCCTTCGGGGAGGTAAAACCGGCCCTGAACCCGTTTATATGGGTTCAAATGGGCTATTTTTTGGCCGAGACTAATGGCTCGTTAATGTCCACGTTAAAAAGGCCTTGTGCCACATGACGCCCTTGTGGGGGGATGACTAAATATAGTCAACAGGTGGCCACAAAGGAGATCTGTCACGGTCAGGCCGGGCGTTCAGCAGGAGAGCATCAACCACCGTCAACATGTGTGAACTACTATGAGAGATCGACCTAGATCCGAAAGCCGGCTTATGAACTTTACCACACCAAGGTAGCTGTCCCAAACCCTCACGTTCCTGTTGAAATAAACCACATAAATCCATTTCTACTGTTGTCGTATTTCCTCCTTGAAACCAAACGCTTGTCTATAACCTTATTATTTATTAAAAAATTATAATAAATGTATTAGAGGTTGAGAATCCTTTATCCAAAATTCTTGGGATTGGAAGTGCTTCAGTTTTCAGATGTTCTTCAGATTTTGGAATACAGGTTATTTAATTTGTATAAAAGCATCTATAAAATATGGCAGCTTGGGAATAGAACCAAGCACAGACTTGATATCCTTTACATTTCATAATACAGCTTATACATATACCCTGAAGATAGTTTTATATAAATAACATATACTCTAAAAGTAGTTTTTTATAAAACTTAATAAATTTTGTGTAAATACAGATACAGGTAATGACACTAGTCATGTAATATTCACATGGATTTTTAAGTGGTTGAATCAAGATTTCATATAAAAATAATATTTTGTACATTTTTGTACAAAAAAGTATGATCACCATTTACAAAAAATATATAAATGCAATGCAAAGCACTACATCATGTGTGAGAAACAAGAGGGAGAAGGTACATTATCGATGACATCACTATTAGTGTGAGAAGGAAAATTTGGTAAGCTGTCAGTCTCTACCAATGTTGTTTTGATTAAAATGTTACAATACGTACAGGTACCGAATTTGTATAAAAACAAAACATAGATTCTGATTACAGTTAAATGTAATGAAAACTGAAAAAAAAAATCAGCATTTTATTTGTAAAACTGCAATACAATAATCATGCTTTCGGTAGCCATGTTGCTTTCTGAAATTTTCCATTTGTGGCAAGTTATGGCAGCACCTGAAAAACTCTCACATTTTGCAATTTTGGATAAAGGATATACATAATAAAAAATGAGTATGTAAATATATGTATAATAAAAAATTATGAAAATAAAAATATTACAAATGACTTTAATGAATTCTAGTATTAAATGAATCATAGAACAATTATTATCATACTGGTATAATATTTGCTGTATATCTAATTTTACAGCCTCCTGTACACAGCCAATACAATAAATATTTACACCTGAAAAAAAAGATACACAGCAAAAAAGGGAATTCTTTTTCATGGTATGATATCTGTTGAACATTGACCTGAAGATTCTTTTAATTTCAGACAAAGAATTCATTCCTTGCAGAAATAGCATTTTATGTTTACCCTTGTCTT